CTGATGACTCTGCACTTAGAGCATCTACATTTACAGCACAGAGAAGCAGAGAGAAGGAAGTGGAAATGAAGAGACATTTCAAGGAGTTCTGCAAGTATCAGTAGGAAGACTTAAAAATAACCTCAATAAAACTGACTTATTCTTCCTCTTCTGCAGTTTCATTGCCAAATCTTATTAACATCCTGGCTCTTAAAAAAGGTTAGAGATGCAGGTGCCATGACCAGGTAATTGCACCCCCACCTTGCTAACTTAGTCATTTTCTTGTGCTGTGACAGCATTTCTGAACTGCACGTGATGCTCTTCATCTGCTGAGATCCAAGTGTTTTACAAAAGGAAGCACATGTTATTCCCTCTTTATAGAGGAAGGTGGAAGCATTTACTAGGCTACTGGTTTGTCCAGCAGCACTCTGGTGAGGCATGGCAGTGAGGCACAGGGATACCCTAAAACTGCCTCTGCAATTGGCTCCATCAGGCTTAAGTTTACTTCCCTCTATAACAGCACTTTGCATCATCATTTTAAAACATTTTAAAGCTTTCAGAAAAAAATAAAAGTCATTTGTCAAAAGTCTGTCTGATTCCAAGGAAAGTAAATAAAGGGTTTTCTAAGCAAAGGTCAAATCCTTCTCTTGGAAACAGTCCTGTGGGATTACTGGGTAGAACTGAAAATAGTAGTTGGCCCATGGGTGAACTTTTAATAAAACAGTTAAAGGAATGATGGACATAAATGTAGGAAACTTTTTGGATAAACTGCTTGCAAGAATGGGAGTTTTATTATAAAAAATCCCAGCCACAAGCAGAGGGTCATTCTTTGTCTCCAGGTCCCACGAATGAACTGGTGTCCAGCTGGGAAAAGCCCTTCCCAGGCAGCCCATGAGCGAGGTGTGTCTGTCACAGCAGAACCTGAGAGGGCAGAGAATCCCCAGCCTTGGACAGGCCAGGCACAATCTCACTGTGTTCTCAGTACATTGCTAATACTTCCTCTTATATTCAATTTACTGCAAAGATGATTGAAATTGGCAATCTCTATTAATTTGTATAAACATGTTTCATGCTGGCTTGTTTGTTTTGTTGATATCCTGGGTTTCTTTAGCTGGGTTCTGCAAACAGTGCCAGCCTTGGTGCCTGCAGTGTCCTCACAGTACCACAGACTTACATTTTTCCCATGTGTACATAGATTTCCAGTATATCACCTCTACAAAGGATAACTACACGTCCTACCCGTGGACCTGGTTGTCTTCCTAGAGATAATTATTTTTCCTTGGGTGTATTTGGTTTTAAACTAAGCTGCCCTTTCAAAGCCTAGAAAAACATTTTGTTTATTCTTGCTTTGTTTAACAAGCTCCCTGTCCTTTTGAAACAAAATGGTAGAAATTTAATGGAGATTATTTTTTTTCCTGGGAAACCTGCAAGAACACAACATGTGTGTAGCAGAGGGATGCATGGAAAAGAATGTTGTTCTATCAGAGAGGCAAACATAAGGGATGAGTCACTTAAGCATCTTTGTGAGCAGTTTATGAATATTCTTTCATGAAAATGTGAATGTAGCTGTTTATAACACTGTGAGGAGAAAAACGTTCCAGAAATAACTCCAGTAGATCCCTTAGAAATGCAACAAAGCACTGCAGCCTTTACTTGAAGAAGGGCTATGTCTTGATCCCAGAAGATGCCCTTCTTCCCAGCTGTTACTCAATATAGCTTAGTCTGTTCTGCATTGTATGTGCTGATCTGTGATCATGTGGGAGGGAGTCACCCAGGGCAGCTGTTCCAGATGTGGAATTATTCTCTGTGCCCACACAGAGAGGAAGGTGTCAGACTCCAGGCAGACGCTGATGAATAACAATCCCATCAGCTTCCAGGCAGTCACAAGGTACCTGGACATGAACACTGATCTAAACGCAGCAGTCACAAGCCAAGGAAAGCATCTAGAGAACCACCTCCAGTTTTATGTTTAATTTTCAGCTGGGGCTCACCCCAGTGGTATTCCCCGAGATTCTTTCAGCAGTAAGAGCTGACAGATTTGCATCTGCAGCTTCCCTGTGCTCAGCAGGGTTGCAGCGTGTGACTGCAGTGCAGCCAGGAATGCAGAGCTTTCTTCTGATACTGAAACTCTTCTTTGTAGAGATCTTTGCTGCAGTGGGAGCATCTTCAGAGGATTTGCAGACATGACTTAACCTGCCTTGCGTTGCCAATGCGATCTGCGCTCGGGAGCAGCTGGAGGCGGGAGGTTTCCCGCTCGGGTTCCGCAGGGAATTCCAGCCCTGGGGGTGGTGGGTTCCCCGCA